AGACCCCTCCCCTCCCAAGAGGGGCGGCTGCCACCCCATGCTACTGCCTCTTTATCAGAGACAGCAGCGCAGGGCGACAGGCAGCCGGTCTGCGAGGGGAGCTGGTTTTTCAACTGGCTCCCCTCGTGGCCCAGCTCCCCGCACTGCTGCCTCTTTATCAGAGACAGCAGCGCAGGGCGACAGGCAGCCGGTCTGCGAGGGGAGCTGGTTTTTCAACTGGCTCCCCTCGTGGCCCAGCTCCTTTGACAGAGGCAGGGTGCTCCTCGGGAGTGGGCCAGTGTGCACGGGCTCCGGCCGTGCCCCCAGGGACTACAGGCTAGTCGAGTAACCGCTAAGAGTCCACTACTCGACTGGTCAGGTAACCGCTATGTCACAGCCCTAGTGCCGGGCGTGGCTTGGGGATGGCCAGTGGGTGAACGAACGTGGAGCTGTGGCCGGAGAATTAAAAATGGTGGGAAAGAGGAGAGGCCCAGAGGCAGGGAGCTAGTGAAGGAGGGAGGTGGGTGATACTGGCTGGGTCTGCAGAGGCTGGTGGAGATCGAGGGGGCCTGTGGCAGGTCAGGAGCAGCTAGAGGCCTCGGTGGGCAGTGTTGGCCAGGCAGCCTGGTAGCGCCTGGGCTGGGCCAGCGACATGCAAGGCCCTGGTGAAGGCGGCAGGTAGCAGGAGCCCGGCGAGATGGGGGAGGCTGGGTCCTTGGGGCGAGTGCAGGCTGGGGCTGTATAATGATGTGACCCTGTCGTCCTTTTTCTGCTCCTCATTAGAGACCCCTGAGCGGAGCAGGCTGTGAATGGGGCTCTCAACCGAGGTATGTCCGCATGGCAGCTTACGTGTGCCCCAGGGCTGGGCCATGGGGGGAGCTCCCTGGGACTGACCTGTGGGCATGATACAGCCGCTCGGCGGGCTTTGGGGGATGCACCGCTGATGCCGGAGCTCAGGACACGGGGGGTGGCAGGAGCGGGAGCTGTGCAGTGCGGTGGCCAATGGGCGGTTTTTGAGAACGTTTTCCAGCACATCTGTCGATCATTAACTGGGGCTCCCCGTCAGCAGGCAGCCGTAGCCCCCCGACTCAGGCACCCGTCTGCGATCCCAGCACCACGCCATGGCGCCAGAGCCAGACTCCTGCCCGCAGGACCGCTGTGTTTCCCTGCAGGAGGCCTGGTGCCAAGGGAGACTCGGCGTCACTGTGCCCTGGGAAAGGGGATCCGGGCAAAGACGGGCACCGGGGCACAGTGGGATAGGGAGGGGGTCTCAGTGGGCGTGACATGGGGACCTTCTGTGGGTAACAGCCATGTCTGGTGCCAAGTCATGCCCCAGTCTCTGGGCTCGGGAGGTGGCAGCGGGGAGGTGCATGGAAAGGGGTGTGCATGTGTGGGGGAAGAGGAGGAGGATGTGTGAGGGGGTGTGTGTGAGAGGAAGAGCAGTATGCGTGTGTGAAAGGGGGAAGGGTGTGTGGGGGAGGGGAGGAGTGTGTGTATGTGAGTGGGGAGGAGTGTGTGTGGGGGAGGGGAGGGGTATGTTTGGGGGCGGGGGGAAGGGTGTGTGTATGTGAGAGAGAGGGGGAGGAGGG